GAGCCCCTTCTCCAGGACATCCTTAGACTAGCTTCTCTGCCAAACAGCCCCTTCCCTTTCTGCTAGCTTTCTCCAAATATCCTCCAAACACTGCCACTGGTGAGATGGGTGTCTTGCAGGTGATGACACTCCTGCACAAACCCCCACGGCAGGTGGGGCTCTACGTGCAGAAGGGAGCTGGCGCCCCGTGGGTGCCACTGTGGGTAATCATATACTGATGGAACATTTCACAGCACCACTGCACAGAGGCAAAATCTTACTAAAGTGTTTGAAATGTCTTTTTCTTTTTTCATTCTGCAAACCACAAACTTAGATACAAACAGTTATTTTTCCTTTCTTTGAAATGGTCTCAATGTAGAAGTAAAATGTAAAAATACACAATCACAGAAAAAGTTAAAGCAGAAAAGGCAAAGTAATGACAGAAACTAACTAGCAGAACACCAAGAAGAAACCCAGTCATAAATAAATCTGTAAAGCAGGTTTCACAGAGTGTCAGTGTAGTCCGAGAAATAGACACACACAAATGGGTACTTCCTGATTACATCTGGCTAAGAGCTACAGCAGATATATTCCCCCACTAAATGCATACTCTACTTTTATTCTGATCAAATTACCTCATATATCTCATGGTTTACAGTCTCCACAATGACATTATCACCTGTCTGATCAATACGGACCACAGGTCTTTCCAGTTTAACTCTGCCTTTGAGGCGTTCCATTATTTTCTCCGATATCTGACCAGAACCCCCTTTAAACTTCCTCTCCTAAAAAACAAACAGAAAAGAAACACAAACAAAAAATCACCAGCACATTAATCACAATGATGTTGAATATGACTTCTGCTCATAATCAAAAAACTCCAGGCCAAATCTGCAAGTCTTAAGGGTGCATAAAGAGGCCCAGACTTCCAGAAGAGTGACAGCATAAACCTGAGCCTCAGTGGTGATTGCTGCCTAAACACTTTTGCAATGGCTTCTTCAATTACCTGGCTTAAAGACTCTTGAAGCCTACAGAACAAACACGTTATGATGCAGGTATTCTAGCTAGTACAAACATATCACTTCATTAAAAAGATGTTTTGAGTATTTTACCCAGCACTGTGCTACCAAAACCCTCACGTGTGACAAAGACGCCAATTTGCCTGCACCAGCCCAGAAGCAAGACAGACCTTTAACTGGGTCTGGCCTCGAGTGCAGCAGGCAATGAGCTTTATCTGTCCCTGGGAAGACACAAAGGCAGTGCTGTATGGAAAAAAGCACGATCTGTGACACATACTTCCATGCAATGTCTGTGCAGAGGCTCAGGGGAAGTACTAACTGTCTTTCATCTACCAGCCACCAGAGCTATATCAAGCAGCTCACTTTTACATATAAGATGCTAGTACTGGCAGGGAGGAAAGGATCCACAGAGTCTTGTGCTGAAAGACTGAAATGGCTGCCTGAAGAAGTTTTATAAGACTCATCACGGCTGTTACGTCAGAAACCCTTAGGGGTTTTGCTCAACTGATTTTGATTGGGCTGAGGGGAGAGGGAAGGATGGTAGAAACCAAGATAGCTTGCCCCATCCAGGCACAAAGAAAAGGAAGTGCTCTTCCCAGGCTAGCTTTCCCCTCTCCACATATCTTTTTTAGTTACGAGTATCTTAGGTTTAATTTTATTTTTAATCCTTGCTGCAACGTCTAGCAGTTGCTGATGGGGGACAGCAAACGTGGCTGAGGGGCTCCTGAGAAGGAAGGCTCTCAGGTCTTGCTCCTACCACAGGGCAGCATTAGCTCTACTTACATCCTTCCTGACACATGGTTGTCTATTCTTACCCCAACGGACAGATATTGATGGAGACCAAATCTCTCCAGGCAACTTCTCTTAATGTCTCCCTGTCCCAGCACACTTGGAAGGGTGTGGTACTGTCTCCACTTTTGCTGTTGGCAGCTTAAGTCTGAAATGCTGCACGTGCTTTCTGAGGCTGCGTTAACTGAGGTAGCAGGCTAGTAAAGGGTGCCAACATACCGCATCCAAGTTACTTTGACAGCCCCCTCTCCCCTTTTCTGAAACTTCATCCAGAACAGTCACATGAAAACCATGAAGTTCTGCGGGCAACCAGGCACCTGCCATGACCAAGGCAAGAAATAGTCTGAAGTAGCTCATAAAACATGCTCCCATGTGAGCCGTCCCAAGAAGGAAGGGCCTTTTGCTATCTACTTCCAACTTGTCATTAGAGGCTTCAACACCAAAAAAATGTATTTCACTCTGAAGTACACTTGCTTTGAACTCTTGAAAACATTCAAATGTGCTAAGTAACCCATAGAAAACAAACTGGCAAAAAAGGCAACAAAACAGAAACAAAAGGACGGTGCTGAATTGAATGCAGGAAAAACCAATTGATTAAATTGTCCCAATTTATTGCAAAGCCTCGCTAACAAAACTCCTCATTGCACAGACTTAGCCGAGAGGACTGTTCCACCCCATAAGAATATGATTGTCTCCAGTGACACAGGCACTTGGTGTTTCATCTTCTTTTCATTAATTGCAGGGCTTTGACGGATATAACACTCCAGTTGCTTTTTATGGTTTCGAGAGAGAAGGAAGAATATGAGACATTTTGTACCTGGCCCCCATTGGTGATAGAGAAAATCCTGGCTGTGCCCCCACACTGCCTCACATACCACAAGAACCAGAGAGCAGAGACTTCATGAGGCTCAGACGTGACGTTGACGTTCACAAAGAAGGTGGCAAATTCTTTAGCAGCTCTGCATGAGACACAAGAGCAGAAACAGGCAGTTGAGTAAATGTGACTTCCTGACTGCTTTCAGCATTCTCTTTGTTATTCTCGATAACAGCTGCTTTCCCAAAGTCAGAAAAGCCAAGATGACTTATATGTCTCATTTTTTAGTCTGTAGTGAGACTGTTTCAATTGGTTTATACCAGCACCTCCATCCCTCCCAAAGCATTTACCCATTCAGTTTGAAATCCCACTGATTTCACCTTAGTTATTTCTTAAAATAGTTTACCAGCTGCTATTCCTTTCATCAGAATAAATATTTTTCTCAGCAGGAGAATGCGTTTGGTAACCAGTCAGTGAAACTCTTCTGCATTTCTCCACCATGATGAGCTCATTGGGCACATCATTTCCAAGGTCTGATGGGTCCCGAGGGACTCAACTAGCCACGCAGCCAAGATATTCCCCATCTCCCATGTAACACTGCTGCACAGACCTTTTGTGAAACCAAGAATCAGACATGGTAAATAACCCAGAGAAACCGAACTGGCAATCATTGCCATAAATATAAGGAGAGGGTCAGCTGTCTACCACAATAAGTCCTCTGAACGTAAAGAGAGTTACAGCAGCAGGAAACGAGGACCTGACTGTTCACATTTCTTTCATTTCTGGCTACAGGTTATTAAGAGAATTGAGGTCATTTTGCAAAAAAGGTGAAAGGTCCTTGACTTAGATTAAGTTTCATAAAACAACAAGAATTTATAATAATCTCCTCAAGGACGGAACTTGGTGAGTTATCTCGGCTAAAATATGTAACTTATAAACTTTTATAACCTCATTTCCCTAGGTATGAAGTCCAGCCACGTATGTTTCATTAGCCAGGATGTGAAAACATCCTGCACGTGAGAATCCTCTGCCACAATCCTGAAAGCACCAAGACACTAAACAGCTGTAGCAGGTTCAGGCCTGAGAAATGTGAAGAGAGTCTCCAGGATCAGTAGATGCTGATCTGTGACACATGACAAACAATGCTTCTTTTATAATCTTGACCTAAGCCATATAGAAAAAGCTGCGGAAGAGCTTTTCTGTTTAGGGCACTATGTTTTTTATAATGTGTAGAAAGATCTAAATGTATTTTTATTGAGTTTTCAAATGTGTTTCAGATGAGCACACCCATTAAAACTGGAGTGCGACTGGCAGTAGAAGCAGTCTTGCTGAAAAGCACGATACAGGAGAGATCAGTAATATCCAGTTCTGCTTATACTCCACCAGCTCTCTGCCTAAGTGGAACAGTAAAAACTAAAAGAGGAAGAGCCAGTGCACTTGTAACAGAAAGGGTAGTTCAAAGTAACCGAGTTTGCAGGCAAATGGCTCATAAAACTAATTGTAAAGAAAATTACAACGCCACAGAGAGCAAAAGAAAGTCTAAATGGCCATACCTTGTATCACATGGAGCTGGAGCAAGATTTAAGCCAGCAAAATAAATTTCAAGTGTAAAGTTTTGGTCAGCAAGCTGCAGGCACAGTGCTAAACCACAGTCAGAATAAAAGGGCAAACAGAGCACAGCCGCACAAATAAAAAATGCTGAACACAAGGGAGGAGAGCATTACAGAATAGCATAGGGGCCAGCACAGCAAGTGAGGACACAGGTGATCATATGAGCACACTCCTCTTTGCCTTATAAAGAAAATTAATAGAAAAATGAAAGGAAGAAAAGATTATTTCCAATTCTCATCACCTCATATTGAACATTGTTCCTTTTTTTATTCATACAATGTAGTTCCTCATAGACATATAAAACACACTGGCCATTTTCTAGGTGATACATCACCTTGGGCCCTCTTCCTACCTAGCTGGGTTGATGCTCTGTTGGACCTGCTATTCACAAACAAGGAAGACCTGTCAGACGATGCAAAGGTGAAGGGCAGCCTCGGCCGCAGTGGCCATGAGACTGTGGAGATTAAGATCCTGAAAGCAGCAAGACAAACAGCAGAATTGCAACCCCAGATTTTGGAAAAGCAGATTTTATCCTCCTCAAGGACTTGTTTGGCAGCATCTCATGGGCAAATACCCTGTAGGGCAAAGGAGCCCAGGAGAGCTGGCTGGCATTCAAGGACAGCTTCCCAGGAGCAGCGGGAGGGTGCGCTCCCATGGGCAGAGCTGTGCAAGTGCAGCAACAGGCATGCTGGGATGAACACAAAGCTCCTGACTGGGCTCAAGCACAAACCAGCCAGGGAGGTGAAAAGCAACAAGAAAGGTTGCCTCAGCTGCTTTTTTTCCCCTCCAAGAGTTTCGGAGGCCCAGCAGGCACTACTGCTGAAACAAGGAGCAGCATTTGAACTTCTCCAGAGTTTCCAGAGCCAACAGCTGCTCACTCCCCCCTCCTCAAGTCTTGCGCTGCCCCATCCCTTGAGTGACCACTGGAAAGCAGCTGCCAACTGGCACAGCATCCTGCTCTCTGATGTGCCACTGGCACCTGACTGCTCCATGCCACACGCGACGCAGCTCACACAGTAAAAGCAGACACATATGATAACTACGCAGGAGAGGACATAGCCAAGAGTCAGAGGACACTATTCCTCAGCTCCTAGCCTGTCATGGGGCTGGGGAAGCCCCCTCACGTCCTTCCGCCTCCATCTCTGTGCCTGCAAGTGATCTTCATTCATGCCTACAAAGCAGAGTTTTATTTACATGTTGGTTTTCCTAAAGACCAATCTTTAGGAATCAATAGTTTTATTTACATGTTGGTTTTCCTAAAGACAAAGGCACATGCTTTCCAACCAAGTGAAGTGAAAGCACGGTGGGAAAAGCCCACACTGTCACTCCTGTGTGCACAGGCTTGCTGAGGCAAACCCCATGTCTCCCCAGCACCTTTAATCCCACCTGCCAGCCAACCCGAGCTCTGCTGTGCCACCTTATCATCTACAGGCCCTCAGCTACTGCCTGATAACTGCCCATCACAAGGACCAGCCTCATCTCAAATACCTCCTGCTTTCTCACTGCCTGTACCCCAGCTGTACTCAGTGGTACCCCAGAATTTGCCAGGAAGCTTCTACAATTCTGCAGCGGGATTTCAAAGTGAATAAAAAGTTACATACTTGGTCCAGCAAATCTTATTTATCAGCTCTGTCATGGTCATTTTGTCCCATTCTTCAGCATGTGGAGCATCCCATGGTGCTTCAGGAGGAATCTGGAGACAAAGGTGAAATATTCAAGAAATTATTCAGTACTATACCATCGCCTGGTCATATCCAGTTAGTAACACAAAGTTGACTGATATGTTGACCAGGAGTTGCTTTTGTCCCCTGTACATGGCTGTAAATTTGAAATAAACTCACTAAATGGAATAGTTTCCATTCACACCTTTGGGCATGAATTGTACCATGATCACCAAATCTGGCTTTGTCTGACCAATGAACTATATCCTTATGCTGAGACTCATCTGGCCTTTAGTTGTCCAGAAATGAGGTGTCTATTCTAATTTAGTTGTCTTGGTGTCCTCTAATAGCTGAGGGAAAAATTCTTTCTCTAGTGAGAGATTCAGTCAGTTCCAAGATGGGTATCTGAAGGGTCCTAGGTTTCTCTGTTAACTACAGAGGGAGCAAAAATGTCTAGATACTATTAAATTATTTTTTGACAGTTACATTCTTAATAATAATCCATTGCATGTGAGTACCACGACGTGTGAGGACACTATCGTATATCTGAATCTTTAAAACATATGTATTATTTGACAAAAAAGATGTGTAGTATCATGCACAAATTTGATTCTGCAAAACCACACAAACCAAATGAACTTTTCAGAAATACAGTTAGTTATGCTTTAAGGTTATTTTAAGGTAGGGTTCCTGGTTTGTAGCCAGGTTATAAGACAACTGATAAATACTTGAAAGATAGGTTGATGCTCCAGAGGCTACTTTTTGCGCACAAGAAGATCTGCAGTTGTACTGCTTGGATTCTGAAGGCATTTATTGTTTAAGAATTTTAGAAACAAAACTACTGTGAAGCCAAATTGGAACCCAGCTTAGGCAGCTAAAAAAAAAGAATCATCCTCACTCAAAAAGGCTGTCACAGGGGAAGGCAAAAAATCCTTCTCATCAGCTTGAGCAATGGTTTTCTCTGGCATGAGAAACTACATACACTGAGGTTCAATCTCCTTTTTTTTTCAGATATCTTAAAACACCTCCAGATCTTTTTGTACCCTCTCATAGAGTCATAGAATCATAGGACAGTTTGGGTTGGAAGGGACCTTTAAAGGTCATCTAATCTAAACCTTTCTCACTGAGGAAGCTCTGCTATTCCTGACAGTTCCTGTGCAACATAGATACTTTTCCTGATCGACGTTTCTTTTTTTTAATATATATTAAAGAAACAATAAAAAAGTCTGCCAGAAACAAAAAAAAAAAAAAAACAGAACAAACCAAAACCAAAACAGATTTACTCATGCTGACATAAGCACTGTAGGAAACAAATACAATTTACACAGCCTACCTCTTTTCCCAGCTTGTCCATGGTCCTCCAGAAGTTATTATAATCCAGATAAACCAAGGGATTCCATGTTGAAGGAGAAATACCTGTGAAATAGCGTGATTTCCCCTAAAATACACAAGAACATAGGCAACTGAAACACAACAGAGCATATCTTCATTACACAAGAACAAAAAATTCTCAAAGTCATCACATGGTTGACCCTTTGCTCCAAAAGACCTAGCTTTTTCGTTCTTTTCCCTTTTTTTTTTCCTTCTCCCTGCATATGCGTGTAAGTAATGGAATGCATGAGGCTAAGTATGATGGGAAAAAACAGTTGGGCTGACATTAAAAAGGACAATAGTACTTTTTTTATTATTCAGAGGGGATGGGGAGGGGCCCATTTGTTCTGAGCAGCTTCTCAAATTCTGGGCTAAGGAGACTTGAGCAATGGCCAAGGAGGTAATATTCCTAGTTCCTAAGCATTCTTCATTATTACATATGAATCACAGAATCACAGAATGTTAGGAGTTGGAAGGAACCTCAAAAGAACATCTAGTCCAAACCCCCCTGCCAGAGCAGGACCACCTACAGTAGATCACACAGGAACACGTCCAGGCGGGTTTTGAATGTCTCCAGAGAAGGAGACTCCACCACCTCTCTGGGCAGCCTGTTCCAGGGCTCTGTCACCCTCACAGTGAAAAAGTTTTTCCTCATGTTAATGTGGAACCTCCTGTGCTCCAGCTTGCAAGTGTTGCCCCTTGTAATGAATCTAATGTTTGCTTGCCTGCTGAAATGTGCATCCTAAAATTTGCATAGGTCTAAAACTGCATGCATTTTAATCTTTTAAACTATCTAAGCACCTTTATGGTACACCTCACCCATAAAAAGCAAACATACCTCCTTATTATGCTGAGTACCTTGGGAGAAACCTAACCTTAAAAAAAAAAAAAAAATTGCCAAAAAGAAAGTTTTTGGCTGTGGGAGGAAAAATTTCATACACTTGCAAAAATGGTATCAGTACTTACAACATACATGACACACAGCTGCAACAGGAATCAGACTGTTTTAGATAATCCTGTGATATAATGATAAGTGAAACAACCTAACAGCAGCTGGCTCTTTGTGATAACTTTAATCTGAAATAGGACTGGATGAGCAAGCAACATTTTCTCTCATTAAACTGCTTCGAACCTTCCCCCACGTAGACCAACAGCAAATTTCTCATTGGACCTCTCAAAAGTTTGCATGAGGTCACGTGGCAGGATGCAGTGAACACGCTGGACCGTGACAGGCAGGAGCTGTGGTACTAAGCAGTGTGCACTGTGCTTTTCAGTGCAATGTATACCATGCCAGCCCATCGCGCCCAGCAGGTAGGAGTCACAGACCGAGCGAGAGGCTGCAGTGCTGCAAATGCACAAGATGGTGACCCAGGAACAGGGAGACACGAAGCAGGAGCCAAGTGCACCTTTCCTACATTTGGCGAGAGAGAATTTGTCAGTCTTCCCCATGGATAATGGTGTATGTGTGTGTAAATACATATGGATTTCTTATATTATTCAGAACACTTTTCTGCAAAGATCATAACAAAGATAAAAGGTGCAAGATGAAACTCAGAAAACATAGTGAGCTTTCAGACTTGGCAAAAGAAGTAAAAAATCCAACCTCCCACATTTTGTCATCCCCAGGGCAGGTAAAATGGAGGAGACAAGGGTACTCAGGTAAGGGACAGAAGTCTTGCTATGGTCAACATGGCTCTCCTCAGAGGATGGCTGTGGTGATGCCCCAGCTCCGGCACCCATCTGGGCCCATGGCTCACTCTGTGCTGTACCTCCTCACCATCTTCAGTGAGGGCAGCAGCAAATATGCTCTCCTGTTCAGTCTGGACACAGTAACCTCTGCTCTGGGCCAAGCAAAGCACAAGGTTGTGATCTCAGCACTTAATTCAGTTTAAGATTCAAGTACTTCAAGGGTTTTTTTTTAAGTTTCCAACAAACATTGAGTTTTCAAGTCACCAGGATGACTCTGGAGGCAGTTGGTTATCTCTGGATTTCTGGGTATGTAATCTTAATCTTGTGCACCACATACTTTTTTTTTTTCTATCTTTTGTCTCAATTTCGTTCTGTTTTAGAGAGTTATGTTGGAGGAAGGTGGGTGGGGGATGCTGCTTCAGCCTTCTCCGGGTGCACATGGTATGCAAAATACATTTCTGCCATGGCAAGAGCAGAGAAAATGTTCCTATGAACTACCAACAAGGGAATCCTCCATACAACACTGCCTCTTTCTTTTCCTTAAGCACAATGTCTTGCTGCCAGTTTGGAGCACTGTTTATTCAGCCACAGAAAAGAGGACCAAAAAACATGCGCCAAGGGGTATACTGCATGCTACAGCTTTTACTGCCATAAACTGATGCTATATCAATCAAATAAATCCTGATAAAAAGCAGTAATATATTGCAAATTATTTTCTTCTTATTGCACAACATTTGGTTTTTCAAAAATATCATCAATTACTGCTCCTTCAAAGTTCATTTATTGCTAGACTTTATTCTAGCCGGGAACGCAGGTGCCTTCAATGTGTCTTCCTTGACGTACTTTAACACCAATCACCCTGCCCTTAAGCAGAGATGAGGTGTAATGCTGTCAGGCCCCCCAATAACAGGTAAAGATAAGTTATTACTGCAGTTCTGTCATGTTGATACTGCAAGGGGACAAAGGGAAAAGATAAACCTGCTATTCAGGAGCAGCAGTGAATACTTCCCAGTTTTTCACTGTTCAGTGACTCCTCTCTTCAACAGGCTTTTTGATAAATGATTGTGCTTGTACTGAGTGGTGTAACTTGCAAACACCTCTCCTATTCTCAGCTTACTTAACTCTTTTGAGCTAAAGAAGCACTTCTTTAAAAAGAAAGTCACGAAAGAAACTTCTAAGGCTCTTCTCCTCTTTTCTTCAGCCTAACTTGTTCCTTACATTGCTGTGAACAAAAGGCCAAGAAAAGTCTCTCTCAGTAACTCAGTAACTCTATGATGAGGTTTGCACCAAAACAGCTTTTCCAACCCCCATCATTAAGTTTACTGTATTCAACAGCTACAGGCTGAGAAATTCCCAAACTCTCCTGATTGCTGCACATGGGGCAATTGGTGACAGAACTTGTCCACTGCCTGGCTACCTAACATTTTCCTCCAGCTTTTCCACCTCTATACTAGCTGTAGACCACCATGACCACGAACTGCTGAGGACAGATCAAGAAATCTTACAGTCTTGGCCATTGGTATGACACGTATCACATTGGGGATTCACTTATATGGTATTTGAAAAAAGGACTATCTTTCCATTACTGATCTGAAAATATTATCCCCACAGCTTTGGACAATGGCATAGCCCAGGAAGATCAAGAGGAAAGCTATGAACTGCCAACCGAGAACTATGAAATTCCAACTGATAATTAACAGTCTAAAGTGCATTACTTGTTGCTCTCTTCTGCATGCACCATAACTTCAGCAAGACTGGAGACCAAGGGCAGCAAAAACTGGAAAAATACAACAGTGCTAACAGACATGGAAGATGCTGAGACGGAAATCAGGGAGCCTGAAATAGTCCACAGACACACTAACTCCTTGTGCAGGGGGGCTGGACCTAAAAGTGGTGTGAGCTGATCAGAGGAAAGCCCAATTCTAACAAATTCCAGGAGAGAAATTCCCATTGCCCATCAGAAAGCACGAGCCAAACAGCCTTAGTCACATCAGTTTTTCAACGCTCTCTCTTGCATAAGCATCTCCACAGCAGGGAATAAATCTAGCCCAAATGACCCAGGGCTGGTAAGTTATTAATTTGTTTTTAATACTGTCTCCCTACTAGGCAGAGGAGCTCTGGCTGCATGTTTCACAGAGGAGTTCACTGCAAGCAGGCAAGGTCTTGCAATATTCCATTTTTAAAGAAGTTGATGGTGTTCTGGGTATATTATTTTGAGAACTACTGTTTTCTTAATGAAAGGCAAATAACCTACTGGCTTGGTTCCCATGCTAACACAAGGCTGCTTGACTGAGCCACAGAGTTTATCTTACTTTTTTTTCATTTCCTGGTGCATTGAACACTTTCCTGCAGACCTCAGATTGAATCCTGCTGCCTGCCTGGATTAGTTACCCCACACCAATCCAAATGAAATAATATCTCCAAGTATCATACTTCAGTGGTTAGAAAGAAGGCAGCAGAGAGAGATGCTCTGCAAGGTCTGTCTTTGCCCAGGGCTACGCTGTGGCTTGTGGCCATAACTACAGGAATTAAGTCCAAACTGTCCCAGCTGTGACACCACCCCAAGTTTCAATTTGTACTGAGGAGCCTACAATTTTGCCAGTCTTGAGAAAGGCAAGTCTGGCTCCTGCCTGCCATATTAAGGACAAAGCTACACATCAGGAAGCATACGAGGAGCATCCCTTGTGCCCCAGAGCAGGGATTCCCATTGCCCTTAGGCCGTGCACAGCGCACACGGCTAGAGCAGCTGCTCGCCATGGTGTGAGCCCTCAGGTGGGCATCCTTCACTGCTCAGTACCTCCAGCAGGTCTAGCCTTGTGAGCACTGCAGCGTCTTGGATTGTCTGTGATTCCTGTGTCCAAACTGCAGATTTACAGCAATCTGCACAGATTTACCTGCTGCACCCTAATCTCTTAATCTTAAGGCCAGATGAAGGAAAGAAAAGACTAGATGGCCAATGTGAAGCATTGCATACAAACACTCATTTTTTATTAAGTGTTACTTTGCTCTGAAAATCCTGAGCAAACAAATAAGCAAAAACAGTCCTTATTTACTAACATTATGTATACCGGAGCTAGGTGCTACAGCCAGATATTAGAGAACTGCAGTTATATGAAAACATTAATACCACACCAAGACCCTAATGTCTTTACTTTCTAGGGTTTTCAGGTCTTCTACTAAAGAAAAGGTGAAAGCGGAGCACAGTGTGACTGACCTTCAAGGATCTCTGTAAGAATAAAAAGCCATCTGCCCCTTCTGGGAAGGGAGAACTCCAGCACATCTGCCTTTTCTCAGTCTTAAAGCATTCTTGATGAATTACGGGACAGTAGCCACAGAGCAACTGGCTGGAAAGCAAGTCTGAGGCTCATAACAAAATCTATGGTTTGGTGTTACAGTTTTACAACTACAGGTTACAAACAAATTCCTGATT